AGCGTATTAAACGCGAGAACAACTCCACTCCGCGGAAGCGCCGCCGCGTCAACGACGACGACGACGCCTAAAGTGAGATGGTTTGTTTTTTTATTGAATGCTGTTGTTTTGTTTCCTGTGCTGTCCCTTTTTTGTTACATGCTTGTTTCCTGTGTGCTGTTTTTCCTCTTATTACTGGTTGCTTTTTGGTTGCATGCTATTGGTTATCTAATTTACCTTATGTCATCTATCTTTTGGTGCACCTCTTCCTGGTTTCCTTTATTTACTCGTTTTCCTCTCTTCTTATTTTATTTTGCTGTTGTTGCAGTTTTATGCCATCTTTTTTGTTTCCTGTGCTGTCCCTTTATTGTTGCATGCTTGTTTCCTGTTCTTACTTTATTTGTTACAGCCTCTACATCTCCCACAGGATCGTCGTCTTCCTTTTATTATTGCCTGCCTGCCCCTTTACCCTCGCTCATCGGTTCCCCTCCGTTTTTTCTCGCAATTTTTTCCGTGCCGTTCTTCTTCGTTCCCCTATAAACAGGCTTGAACAGTTTCGGCTCGACGCATCATGACCATCACTAGCTTCAGTCAGCCTGGAGAGTATCATTTCTCTTGTCGATATTTGTTTACGTCATGTATGAGCGAACGTGTTGGCGGTGTTTTCGTGGGTACGAATCGGTTGGTGTTTGGCTGTGGTGTCGTTGTGGACACGTAGTAGTAAGACATACATCTCTTTCGTACCGACAACGGAATATTGCACGAGAATGTCTGTGTTGTTGTCGTTGTGCGCAAGTAGGAGAGGGGGGCGGTACGTAAAGGCAACAATTTGAATGAAAATTGCCAACGGTCACAGTCTCGGTATTAAATTGGTTTGGTGAGAGTCAATCGCACTCTTTCCTTTTGTAGTGGTAGTGTGTTGCAAAGAGATACAGAAACTTTTACAGCCACGCATTATTGCACAAGAATGGCGAACATAATGAATGATCGGCATTATTCAAGAATGCTCGATTGATTCGGGCGAAATGGAACTCTCTCTACCGGCAACGGAGTACTGCACGAGAATGTCTGTGTTGTCGTTGTGCGCAAGTAGGAGAGGGGGGCGGTACGCTTTGGTACCGACAACGGAATATTGCACGAGAATGTCTGTGTTGTCGTTGTGCGCAAGTAGGAGAGGGGGGCGGTACGTAGAGGCAACAAATTGAATGAAAATTTGAATGAAAAGAATGTCTGTGCTGTTGTCGTTGTGCGCAAGTAGGAGAGGGGGGCGGTACGTAAAGGCAACAATTTGAATGAAAATTGCCGACGGTCACAGTCTCGGTATTAAATTGGTTTGGTGAGAGTCAATCGCACTCTTTCCTTTTGTAGTAGTAGTAGTGTGTTGCAAAAAGATACAGGAATGCTCGATTGATTCGGGCGAAATGGAACTCTCTCTATCGTAGCACACGTTCCGATTCCATCACGTCATGACAGATTGATTCAGACGAAATGGAACTCTAGCACACGTTCCGATTCCATCACTTCATGACAACATTCGGCTGTTGGTTCGGACGAATCGCACTCTTTCGGAGTACACGATAAAAGGTTCGAACGAATCGCACTAACTCTTTCGGAGTACACAATACAATTCGATCAACGTACACAGGACGATCGATTGTGGTATCATGCGCCATGATGATGATGACAGAGGGAAGAGAAGACTGACGTTGGACAAGAAACACGCTGCTGCTGCTGTGGGTTCAACAAACATTCTGAAGGCAGCAAAATATGAACGAATCGCCTGTACACCCCGTCTGTACCGAACAACATGGTCACGACAGGACGACCGACCGCGTTTTGCTATATGTAAGTACGGATGATGCAACACTTGACGCGGTCGATTCCCCCCATGGTCACAGGCTAACTTACCCTAGAAACGGTGCACTCACTCTGGGCCCGTATAAACAACAAACGAGAATTACATCGAAGGGCACATGGCACGCGCATCCTCAAGTACAGGCAATCAGATTGTATACCGTATTGCTACTCTTCAGGAATAATAAAAACACATGCTCTGTTGTAACACTCTGTTGTAAGAAGCGGCTACCCACGGTGAAAAATGCTACGGTTCGGTTATATCTGCGGACCCGCTCTTCGTTATCCTCCCATCACTTCCTCACAGTCCCGTCAACTTCGCCCGGTTGGTCTACCCCTGTCCTCTCCGGTCACGAGGCACACCTGCTGACGTGACCCTTTCCTTTCGGTGTGCCAGTCATGCTTTTGTCCTTTGTACGCATCGGTCTATTGCTGGCCTTGTCATCGTTCGTTGCAGCGATGCCGTCGAAACAGTCCACTGCTGCTGTTGGCCGCAGCAGGGGCCGACGCCCGGTTCGTCCGTCAACTTCCAACCGCTCCTTCTTTGCCAGCGATGGACCTAGTGACGTTCAAAACCTTGATCTCTTAGCTCTTGGATCTGGCGGGTCTGGTAGACGTGCAACACCGACCTCTACGGGGCAGCGCCTTACTCGCGACAACCTGCGCGCGCAGCGGATGAATCGCATGGCGCTTGAACGAGAGGCAGCGACCCGCGCGCGCGCTCAAGCTCGAGCGGCGGCTGCCGCTACAACGAGGTGTGGTGATTTTACACAACCATCGTCGTAGGTTTTTGTATTGGGGTTCAACAATTGACCATGACTACTTTAATACTACTTTTTGTATGCGATCTTACAATACAGTAAAATATCGCGCGCACGATGTTCTCGTCGAAGAATTCGTTAACTTTCAATAGGCAGATTACGTAGTGACCTCACCTCTTCTTCTAAATTGCGTTGCGATGTTGTATGTTGCTTAACAGCATCTTATCAGAGGGAGAGATCTAAGGGAATACTTCACGTGTGTTCTATTTGCGTATATTGTTTCTTGCTTAACAGACAACTTATCAAAGGGAGAGATCTAAGGGGATACTTCACGTGTGTGTGTCTACACTTCCTTACTGTTGGTTTTTTTTGCAAGGAGATACTACTGTTCGTTCTTCGGTGTTTTTGCAGGGACGCCCTCCTCAACAAAAAGAGAGAGTCAGTAGCAGCTCGGAAAAGGCTGACACCTGCCGCGAAAGCTGCCTACCAGAAGAGAGACCGCGACGCCAAAGCTGCAGCACGGAAGCGTATGACGCCGGAAGCCAACGCGGAAGAAAGACAAAAAAGTCGGGAAGCTAAAGCAGCAGCTACTCGGAGAATTCGGGGACCGCCACCTTTTGTACCTGTCGTCAAGACTCCTCCGGTGTTAGCATGCGACAGCCCGGAAGGGAGGATGGACGGTCACGACCGACCCCATATGCTCGACAACATCCACCATCCGTCTGTCCTGCATAAGTGCCTTTCAGACTTCACCAACCACATCGTCAACTCCGTGCGAAGGTACGTTGATGCACGTCGTTTCTTTGCGATCCCCCGCTTTTGTTCCGCTCTTGTTCGCGACTATATATATTATTCGTCTTCAATCGTCTCAAATTTATTTAACCGTTGCACTTAATTCATGCGCGTCTTGTATTTCGGTCTGATTATTTCCGGATTGGATTTGGAGGGGGGGTCCTTTTCTGAGCCAAAAAAATAATTTGCGTCCCAGAAGTAGAGCGTATTGTCCAGTTTTGATTGCAGACGGCCTGCAAGCGTGAACCGAGGTGTGGTTCGTTGTTGCCTTTTTTGGACGTTGCTTTTTTTTGCTACCGCTTGCTCCGAAAGATGTACAACGCATGCCACCAGAGAGAGGCCTTTCGCCGACGACATCCACAAACATGCCCTGTGCAGGCGACCCATAAACAGGACGCTCGGTGCCTTGTTGGTCGCACACGAGCCAAAACCGTGTACTGAAGCACAAGAACATGAATCTCTTTTTTCCCTTGAGAAAAAAAAAATGTGACTCAGCCTTCTTGCAAACGGATTTTATTAGTTTTCCGTCGTCCCCGATTGATTGAACCCCTTGCGTCATCTAATTCTGTATTAATCCTGTGTTCTCTATCCTCGCTCTGTTTTTAAGTACTTCGTGTGGCATCTGCGACCGGAACTGCAAAAGCATGGATTGCAAGTTGGTCGCCGCCAAGGACTTGCCGCACAAGGACCTTCTCAAGGCAGATGACAAGCTTCTCGCATGCAGCGCCGTCCGTGGTACTTTCTTCAACTACCCTGGCGACGATTCCGTTCCGAAACTTCTCGACGGGCTTGTTCTTGAGCGGTTGGGATTCGAGTCGACATCCCCCTACCGCATGCAGGTGAGATCACTTCGTAAATGAGACCGTCGTGAAGGATCCGGACACTATCATTTCGGAGTCGTCGTCTACCTCAGTTGCCGGCTGATTTCGAACTACCTCAGTTTTCGGGTGATACGCCCCGTGCACCGCCCTCACCTCTACCTCAAACACTCCACTCACGCAAATCTGTTAGGTGTGTAAGGAATGCCTACAAAGCCTGTTGAAGAAACGGATTCCGGAGGCGGCCCTTGCCAATGGTCTTTGGCTTGGCGACTTCCCCGAACACTTGCGATCCGCTACGTTCGTTGAAATGATAGCAGCAAGCCCAGTTCGGATTAGCGGCATGGTTCTTGCGCTGGACGAGTTGAAGACGGGGAGTGTGAGTGGTTCTGCCAAGAGTCAAATGCGCGGCACGTTCACGTTCTACATGCAAGACGCGTACGGTGTACAGTTGAGGCTTCCTGCCTGCGACACCGACATCGCAGGGTCGTTCACTTGCGCTCTTGTCGGGTGCAAGCCAAATCTTGCGCAGCTGCGGCGATTGCTTGGCGCACGACGCCAAATGGTGCAGGATTTACTGGACTTTCAGCTGGACAAAGACAACCGCTTAGTAGGTCAACACACCTTGGCTCGTGAAGCTCAGCTAGCACCGGAAAACCTTCATGGCTACAGCAACGACGGGTCTATCCCTAAAGCTGTGCTGGACGCCATTCTACCAATTAAGGACAGCGCCAAAGCCTACTCTAACGCGAGATCAACGCATGCCCATGGTAACCGCGAAGACGACCCGACACCGGACGGTGGGATAGAGAGCACGGATGACGGTCCGACAGCCCCTTTCGTGATCGAAACCAACGCCGTCGTTGACACCGGCGATGACCTTGCGGTTGCCGGCGCATGCAAGCCAAACCGGCTAAGAGATCTTGGTCGCGCCATGCAAACTGCCTCTGGCAGTCCATCCCTGGCGCAAGCCGCTGCCGCACAAGCTGCCGTTCTAGCGGGAAGGCCTTCTCCACTTGGGAACCGACAATGCTTTGGTGCTCACACACTCCGGGCGCATGGTTTCGGACTTCAAGAACGCCGGGCTGTTCGTGGGTGCGTACTTCGACCTATTCCCGCACGGTGTCGGAGGACATTTGGACAGGCGTTCGAGACCTCTCACCCTCAAGAAATGGGCGCAAATTCTTCTTCGACGGCGTGATGCACGGTTCAGAAAAAGCCGCACCTTTCTTTACTGCGTATGCGCGCTTATCTTTCGAAGGGAGGCGATAGAGAACGCCCGTTGGAAGTTGACCGGGAGAATTTCTCCGGCAGACTCTCGCACGCTGTCGGCAGTTACTCCGGAGGACCTCGCTGATGCTGCAGCAGCTATGGAAAACGGCCGTGGCAATGGTTCGGTCTTGTCTGACCGGGCCGGGATTGCGGCTCTGATCAAAACCATGGAGTCAGTCCATGCCGGGGCGTCTTGGACCCCCCACAACAAGAGGTCTACACGGATGATTGCTATTTCGTACATTATGCAAATGGGCCAGCCTCTCATTTGGATGACGATCAACCCCGCCGACGTCAACAGCCCAATTGTTGTCAAAATGTGCGGGGTCGACATTGATGTGTCGAGCAAGCTCAAGGCAAACTTTCCGGACTACGTCGACAAGCTCAGATTGGTTGCGAACGACCCTGTCGCCTCGGCTGATTTCTTCCACAACACCATCGACGGCGTTTTGTCATGCTTGCTTCGCTTCGGTGCTTCTGACGGTGATGGAGGAATTCTCGGTCGGGTTAAAGGATACGTGGGGATGACGGAGGAACAAAAGCGACTCGTACTTCACTGTCACCTTCTCGTCTGGGTCTTCGGCTACAACGATTTCGCCAGCTTCCGAGACCTTATGGATAGGACTCCAGCGCGGTACACGGAACTTGCTCAGTACCTCGACAACATCATCTTCAACCAGGTGGCGACCCTTGCCGACATCACCCGCGTGATGCACGGCGGTGTAGAAGGTATTTCAACATTGCCTGTCGGCGACACGTGTCAAACGGACCCAAACCATCGTCATGCCAAGGAGTGCTTGCCGACCGCGCCGCCAACCAACTGTTTTCCGCGGGACGGGGAAGATCGGTGTCCTGTTCACGACCAGGACTACGCCCGTCTCATGTATCTGGACCTTGCCGGGATCACGCCTGGAGCTAACCTGCACAAGTGTAACGCCACCTGCACAAAGTACAACCATCTGAACTCCTGCAGGTGAGCCATGTCACGTGTTCCCATTGTCAACTTGTCTCCATCACACCTCGCGCTGACCTACATATGTGCAGGCCACCTGTACAACCTTTTCAAACCATGAGGTCAGATATACATGTTGCATGCTTCCATTCTCAACTTGTCCCGCCTACAGTCGCACTTCTTTCCTACACGACACACTGCCAAGTACCACTTGCTTCTTTCCTCCTCTGTCCGTGCAGGTTTGGCTATGGGGAAGAAGGGAAGCCACTTGTCGCTGAAACCGTCGTGAAACGGGGACGATGCGTTTTCGACACGAAGGGCAACATGATCATCGATGGAGTCGTGTATTCCGTTCACTCAACCGACGATGCCGCCGCCGCTGCATCCACTCCAGCCTTCCAGACAGCTTTTGATGAATCCATTGCAACACTCATCGGGGACGACGGACTGCCGGATCCGTTGTCCGATCGCTTCAGCGCCGATATTCGTCGTCTGCACAGCCACATCAACAGCTTCAACCCTGTCATCCAATTTGCCATTCGGAGTAACATGGACCTCAAGGTTTTGCTCAGAGACAGCGACGCCAAAGGAATCCTCTTCTACATCTTAAACTACAGCACCAAAACTGAGCAAACCTTGGACGTTTTGCTGCCCCTTCTTGTGCCAGTAGTGGAACGGATCCGAGACGAGGCCGACAGAGTGGACGACAAGGAACTTGCGGTGCGCCTTGTGCGATCTTGCCTCTGCAAACAGCTATCCAGTCTTAACATTGGCGGGCCGGCGGCTGCTAGCAAGGTACTCGACATGCCGGACCACAAGATCTCCCACCACCCCGTGCCATGCCCAATGTCACCGTTGCTGACGTGGGCATGTTCAAGAGACGGCCCTTTGGATGGTGACACCAGCCGTCCAGACGATGGGAGCGACAGCGACACGGAAGACGCTATGGACAGTGATGTCATCATCACACCATTCAAAGGGAAGCTAACGGTGGCGCAACGTGCGTACTTGCTGTACCGCAATCGTTGCCATCCTGATGACACCGGCCACGTACTTCACGGGATGTCTTACGTCTTTTGGCACAAGCTTGTCCGCGTAATACGGTATGACCCGCTGGACAACAGACAACCGGACCTCGCGCAGTCTTCCGATGCGTCCGACACTGACTCCGACTGTGACACCGTGCAGCCGGGCGACCCCGTTAGCCCCTCCGGAAGACGTGCATCTGCCCGGACGGGGAGACCCCGCGCGTGTCGGTACGACTTCGTTGGAGAGTACAAGCACAAGTGGCAACAGGTCAGCTTACAGCACGAGGCAGAACGCGTCGCATCTAACGCGTCGCATCTAGAGTACATCTATTAACTGCTGTAACCATCCCCTTATTTGTTGTACTAACTCGGGCGTGTTTCTCCTGCTGCAGGTTCTGCGGGAGAAACCGGCGATGGTCAACATCATGCGAGACATACCGCGCAAGGACACTCAACCCGTCGCGCACTGCCGTCTTCTGCTGTGCATGTACATTCCATTCTTTACTTTGGACGACCTTAAGACCACCGGTGAGAGTTGGACGGATGCCTTTACCCGTGTCGACACGTCAGACGCGTGGGACCCGCGTACGTATCCCTTGCGGCTTTTCGTTAAAGGGATGCTGGCTCAGAAGTTGGCCGCAGCAGAAGAGACCGCGAAGCGGGAAGCCCAAAATGCTTCTTTCACCGCGTCACCGGACAAACAGCAGGATAACAGCGATAAAGCCGAGGTCCACTTGTGTGACTACGGGGATGATGAGCCTGGACGAAGCGTTATCCCAACTTCTGCGCGTCGGTTGCAGACGGAATTTTTCGTAAACGATGCCTTGAGATCTTTCCTTGCGGCTGGTTTTAGCGGAGACGACTCCTTGCCGGAATCTGCATTTCCTTTGCTGAGCGGCCGGACACGCCAACAGACTATGGAAGACGCTTCGCATATCACCCTTGGCACCGACGTAGCGGCATCGACGCTATTTGTGGCACGGCAGGAGTCTTCGCTACAGCAAAAGTCGACTTCTTGCGCGGCGTCAATGGCCGACGACGCACAGCCTGTTTCATCACCGTCGTACTCTACCGGTACCGACGGTGGCCCACCGGTTCAGCCGTACCTTATCCGATTGAGAGCAGCTTCCCAAGAAGGCCTATCGGACCAAGCACGGGGAGAACGGGACGCCAGGCGTGTAGCGACGAACGCTGCTGTTGCTCAAACTGACGTCGGGCGTACTTCAAACTTGCAACATTCTGTCGCCGTCAGTATTGCGCAAGAGTTCGGCCTCAACCGAAGGCAGAGGCTGGCCTTCTTCATCTTCGCTAACGGGCTGCTCGCTCAAAGTCGTCCCAATCCACCCGAGGCACTTCGCATATACATCGGTGGAGGGGCTGGGACGGGCAAGAGCCACGTCCTTAAGGCCATCAAAGCCTTCATCGAGTGCCCAGCAATCGCAGCAGAAGTACCGCGCGGACGATTGCTGACGGTGGCTTATCAAGGAAAGCAAGCAGCTAGTGTCGGTGGAACTACCGTTCACTCTGTCTGCTCCACGGGTAGTCGGGACGGCGGGAACCTCTCTGGCGATCATGACGATCAGAGTTCTCTGCCCGACGCGAAGGCCATGCACTGGAAGGGTGTGTCTGTGCTTGCCATAGAAGAAGTAAGCATGGTCGGGTGCAACCTTCTCGTTCAGCTTCACAAGGCCGCGTGCTCCATGTTCCCCATCCACAAGGCCAAACCATTCGGGAACAGGGTCGTCGTCATGCTCGGCGACTTCCATCAATTGAGGTACGTTTCTTTTAGAGTTGATCCTTCACGAGTAGGTGTCGCGCTTTCATGGGTCTGTCTCTCTCGGATCACTGTCTTCGAAACATAGATTAACATCTCCCGTTTCCTTCTCTTCCTCTCTTTTGTTGTCGTCTTACTTTTCGTTCCAGCCCGGTCAAAGCCAAATCACTCGCGTGTGGTGCCGGAGTCTCCACTCGCCGTCGTGACATGACCGTTACCGAACGGTATGGTGCTGATCTCTTCAGAAGCGCCAACGCTTGTGTCATGCTTGATGAGTCCAACCGTTTCACGCCCATCTACGCGCCCATAATGGAGCGTTGTCTTCGTTCGGAATGCATCTCCGATGACGTCGACCTCATCAACAACCATGTCATGGGCACCAGCCGCAAGGCAGACTCCCTGTTCGACGCGCGCGTCATCGCCTTCCGCAACAAGGTATCATTGTACTACATTCCGTATGATTCTTCTTCTATAACCCTTCTTTTCGCTCCGTTCTACCTCATCCGCTTCCGAAACAAGGTATCTGCCTAGATGCTACTGATTCTTTGCTCCGCCTGATCTACCTGCCATAATATTTCGCCATCCCTTCACTTCCCGCTGCAGGTTAACACCGTCTTGACTGTGCCGATGATGCGGACCTGGTGCAAGGCTAAAGGTACCACTCTCTTCATCGCGGCAGCCCATGACGTATACGTCGGGCACCAACGTCCGGGCGCCACCGCGGAGGTGAGAACATCGCATGTACTCTGCTGTTCAGCTTGAGTCTTGCCCTGGGTTTCCAAACATTCCAAACATAAAGAGTCAAGCATGACTGAGGGCCTTTGCAACTTCCGTACTCGAACAGGTACCACCAACGGACGCTCCATGGCCTGCAGGACTTCGTCGCGAAATAAAGTCGCTCGACGACGGCAAAACAAACGACCTCCCCACCAGCGCATGCCTTGCTATCGGTGCGCCAGTCGTTCTTCACAAAAGCCCACAGTTCGTCCTACTTGGGGTATGTAACAACTCCGACGGCATCATCCGTGGCATTGAGCTTGACCCACGTGAAGGTTACGCCTCCAGTACCGCAGGCTACTCCGTTGTCACCCTTCGGTACGCGCCACTCAGAATCTTCGTTTACATCAAGTCTGCTGATGCCGCCGGCCTGCACTTAGATGGGTTGCAGAGGGGAGTAATTGCCGTGGCACCGGTTGAGCGTAAGTTCACAATTGTCGGCATCAACAAAAGGAAGTTCACCTTCAAACGGCGACAGATACCATTGACGGCCGGATGCTTATCGTCGGTGTACCGCAGCCAGGGCCAAACCATGCCAAAGATCATCCTCGACATTCGCCGCCCTCCGGGACATGCTGTGGACTGCGCCGCCGTCTACGTTGCCCTTTCGCGTGCAACCGGTCTTGGCGATTTGAACCTTCTCTTCCCTGTAACCCTGCAAGATCTCAATCAGCCTCAGAATCCAGACATCGTCGCCATCGTCAACTACCTACACCGTCTGGACGAGACTACTATGGTGCTTTTCCTCAAAGACCCGGGGTCTTTCACCCCTGCCTACGCCACCTTGGACGGCATCGAAGAAGCCGGCCCAAGGCCGCCCCACAAACAACCAAAACGCGTTGGTCGCCACGGTCCAGGTGCCACCCGAAGAGTCGCGCACCTCATCCCCAACGAGGACAACAATTGCTTCTTCAATTCTGCGCTCGCTTTGGCACTCGCGGCCTGGGATGGTCAGCCGCTTCCAGATACTACAGCCGGCACCCCTGCTGCCGGGTCTTTTTTTGCGGCTTTGCAGTTACTGAGGGACTCCATGTTCGACGAGTGCGACCTGTCGCCGAATATCGTGGTGAGCGTTCCGTCTTTGTTGGTATCTTGGCTTCACTTCCATCGCCAATTCTTCGTCTTGCATGCTCTTACCTGCCTTGCCGTCTCATGTCGTTGCCGTGCCATCTTCTTGCCTGACGCTTTCCACGTGCCTACTTGCCGAACGCTTTACTTCCCTTCTTCACGCCTGCATCTGCCGTCCACACCTCAGCTTGAAGCGCGACAAGCGCGTCAAGCCATATTTTCCAATTCGTCTCTGCCCGGGGTAGGCTCTCAGATGGGAGACGTCGCTAGCGTCTTCGAGGCAATTGCGGCTCGTTGCCCACAGGAAGGGTCACCCATATGGCCAGACAACTTCAACGATCGTCAAAAACGGGT